AGAGAGAGAGAGAGAGAGAGAGAGAGAGAGAGAGAGAGAGAGAGAGAGAGAAAATGTTACTCACCAGACCTTTTGTAGTTTTCATTCCTGCTGCAATTGACAAGGACCCTGAAAAAATAAACTAGTAACACGAAGAAAAATGCAGGTCAAAAACTTGAAACAAATATTTGAAGTCATAACTTATTAAAACTTATCCTTAAGTGTGATAGATACATTAAACAGACCAGCTATATTGGATGAAGAATGCAAAAATTTGTAAATAACTGTTCTCTTTTCCCAAACACAACAGAGAATTTTTATCAGATGGATTCACAGGAAAACTTATCAAGTCTTCTAAAAAATTTCTAACTGCTATGGTATTTAAACTGTTCAAGAGCACTGAAATATAAAGCATAAAAATTCCTGATATAAAGTAACTCTAATATGATACCAAAATTTAATAAGATAGTACAAAAGAAAAGAAACTAAAGATTATTTTCATTTAAAACAACTACTGTAAGTTGTAAATAAAATAGTAGAAAAGAAAAAATTTGAATTCCATATTAGATGATGATTAGAATATATTATTTCATTTGACTCTATCAATTGGGTAATTATTTTCCATTTAGCGAACATGGCTGGAGTCAAGTCATCTGAGCTCCCTGTTTTTTTTTACTGTTTGCGTTTCTGGGTTTGCTTTCCAAATTTGATTTCAGAAGTTTCAGAAGTACCAAAAAAGGCTAATCCTTGTACTCCTGAATTAACCAACCCTGGAAATGACTAGCCACTGGGCTTCCTCTTGTGAAATAATCAATGCTTTTGATGTCTAATCCATTCTGGTTTGAATCATTTGCTATGTGGTGCTGTCATATACCCTAACTGATACAAATGAAATATTTACTCTGCTTGGTTTCCTATCAGTTTTATATCATTCCCACTGAAATCTGAGAAAATTGAGCCAAAAGGAGGTTAGATATCTTTTTCAAAGCTAGAGAACTACAGGATAAGGTTAGAATATGATTCCAAAGCTCAGGGTATTAATACAACTAAATTATGTATTTCCAGCTATATCATAAGGCATTCTACTCACCATCACTGGTCCCCAAACTGTGTACCCCGTATACACTAAAAAGGTACTTGAGTATACATAATAATTGGGCACCGTTACACTCATTATTATTATTCCCAAGCTGAGGATCATTAGGGAAATCAGCACCTGCACAACCTAGAAATGAAGAAAGTAAAAGCCGATTATCTACCACAAAAATGATGCCCAAGCCACTCCCTTTCCAACCACTAAGTTACCCTCATTCTCCATCTTTTGAAAGAGTCAGGTGGCCTTCTTGATTTCCCTTGTCACTTTCTTTTCATATAAAGAACGGTGGATATATTAACTTACTCGACTAATCTCTCAGGATATCTATCCCAATTGTCCCAATAATTTCAATGTCAAAACAGTGTCGCAGCACCTACCTGGAGGCACTTTACCTATGATGCTACATCTACCAACAACTTTTGTTTGCCTTTGCACATACTCAGACAGCAGTGATCCAGAAATTAGGAAGCAATTATTCTAGCAAGAATAAGTACTTTGAGTAAAGAAGAGTCTACACAGGGGAAGAAAAAGAGAATGGCAATATGACATTTTCTTGGGGTCTGGGGTCTGAGGACAGACCCCTATGTTCACTGTTCTATGTTCACTGAACCTCTATGTTCACTGTTGTTCTACCCGCACTAAACTATCTTCCTTTAAACTGTCCATTTCTTTCAGGCACACCCACCTGAGACTCCAAACAGGAATGTACAGAGGTAGAAAATTTTCATCCTCAGAGGAGCAAGCTAAGAAAATTCCCCAGAGAGAGACAGTCACAATATGGGGCCATCAGTTTTCAGGAGGGTCTGTGGAAGTGACACCGGCTAGTGTACATATAACCTTGTCTTTTGCTGTTCTTTCATGCTGGAGTTAAATATAGTTATCATAGATGACTCAGAACCCTAGAAATAGCTCTGAAGTCATTACATTTTAAACATAAACTAAATCAGAACTGTGATGTGATAGAATATTGTCTTCTTTTTCAAGTGATAGGGTCTACACATCTATACTGATGTCCCTAAGGCTGGCTAATGTATTTTGAGGCTGATGGGACAGAGTATATGAGTATATGGCATTAGATCTAATCAGTTGGGACAACATGATGGGCCTTCTCCCAGATCTGCAACTGAACTTACCCCAAGGACTTTAGGTTCACCTTTCAAGAATTTCTCTATCATCTCTTTCCACATATATGGCTGTACAGCAACAGGCTGCCCCAGCTGGACCATATTAGGGCCAGCTTCTGGTGTGGTCTGTGAATGTTGCATGGTTGTCATGGCAGCAGGAAAAGTACTACAATAAGAAATGTAATTTAGGATGAGATCCTGGAAATGACAAGACAACCTCTGATCAACATNGGGAAGAGCACAATGATAATACCAACAAGGGCCAGTGAAGCAACATCCTCCACAACTAGACTGAAGAACAAAAGGACAGCAACTTGTCTGTTTCCCTTCCCTGATTCCCCAATGCTGTTCCCCGCCCCCAATTCCCCAATTAAAAAAAAAAAAAGATAGTGTGGCTGAATGGATAAAAAAACCAAGATCTTTACATATGCTGCCCACAAGAGACTCACTTCAGATCAAAAGACACACACAGACTGAAAGTGAAAGGATGAAGAAAAACATTTTATAAAAACGAAAACGAAAATAAAAAAGAAAGCTGAGGTAGCCATATTTATACCAGACAACATAGGCTTTAAAACAAAGGCTGTAACAAGAGACAAAGAAGAACCCAGTAATCTTACTTCTGGGTATTTATCTGGAGAAACCTAAAACAGTACTTCAAAGGGACATGTGCATCCATAAGTGTATTGTAGCATTGTTTACATTGGCTAAGATATGGAGGCAACCTGGGTGTCCATCAATGAATGAATGGATAAAGAAGAGGTAATACATATATATAATGGAATATTACTCAGCCATAAGAAAGAATGAAATCTTGCTACCTGAAACAACATGAATGGACCTGGAGGGTATTGTGCTGAGTGTAGTAAGTGAGACAGAGAAAGACAGATGCCATATGATTTCACTTATATGTGGAATCTAAACAACAAGATAAATGAACAAACAAAACAGAAACACACTCATAGATACAGAAAACATTTTCATGGTTGCCAGATGGGAGAGTGGGTGAAAAAGGGGAATAGATTAAGTACAAATTGGTAGTGAAAAAGTAGCCATGGTGACATAAAGTACAGCATAAGGAACCTAGTCAATAATATTGTGATAATTACGTATAGTGTCAGATGGGTACTAGATTTATCAGCGTGATCACTTTGTAAGTTATATAAATGTCTAATCACTATGTTGTACAACTGAAACTAATATAATATTGTATGTCAACTGTAATTGGAAAATGAAAAAGTTATTTTTAAAAAAGAGCTGTTAGAAATCTCGAGGGGAGTAAAGTAGATTAGTAGGCTTTCAAGGGGTTATTTTGATGGGAAAATATAGCACTCAAGATTTACTCAGAATTAGCTAGGAATGAAGAAAAGGTAGCGCAATTGATTTGCATAATAAGGACATTTCCAAATTAAGGGAAGAAAGGAGACAAAGGAAGAAAAGAAACAACAGAGCAGCACAGTAAAAGGCCGGAAGCTCCTATGGAGGGGGAGGGGAGGTAACAGAAAATTCAGTGGTGTTGAGAATGGCTAATAGTCTTTTTAATAACAAAGATTCAATTCCGTTTTAGTCTGCTACATTGTGCTGCAATAACTCTTCTTCCCCACACTTACCCAATGGCTCAAAACTTTAAGAAGTTTTATTACCTACAAAATCTTGTATAAGTGGTAATTTGGAGAATAAAGCAATTAGAAGAACATCTAGATGAGGGCAAGTGATGCATATCATAAAATACAGAATAGAAATTGAGAATTTGCCAGGGGCTGGATGTTGAGGCCAAAAGTGCTTAATCTTGCAAGAACATCCAGAGATCTTCGGAGGGATTGTGGATTATGCATCACTTGTTGGATAATGTTCAAGACAATTTACTTTATTATTAGAGGATGTGGTAACTCCATCAGACTCCATCAGGAAGCCCTGGGGACATCTCTAAGGACTGGCATCTGGAGTCCAGTTTTAGAGTGGATAACAGTACCTACTTATCTGCATTCTGAAATTAAACAGGAAAAATTATGCAAAATACTTAGCCTACTAATTAATAGAGGGTGGGTGTTCTATAATTATGAGCTTTCTTCCCACTTTCCCTCCTCATATGTAAAGGATGAACAAAGAGAGACTTGAGATGTAGGCCTGGCTTCTAATAAAATAGTTGCCCTATTTCTCAATTACTTTCACCTTTCCAAGGTGATTCATCAATTAGAGACTACTGATTGTTATTTTGCCAGAGCTAGGCTCCTTTGATTTGCTTCCACCACAGTATCCCATGAAAAGAAGAAGCACTCACCAAAAAAAGACGGCCCATGATGAAACAAGAATCCAACTTATCATGATAGCTACAGTGATAGTGACCTATTGAATTAATACTCAAGCTGATGGACGTGAGTATGAGCCCTACTGCAGCAAAGACAGAGCTGGTGATGTTCAACCCTAGGCTACTTCGGACCTAGAAAAGAATGAAAATCGATTAAACAATCCAACAACATCCTCAGATAGGTCTCCATTAATCACTTTACACCCATCACTTCTTGCCCTACCCAATTCAGCCCATCTTCACTATCTTGGTTATAGAGGCTATCTTGGCAATAGCCTCCTAACTTGTGTCTTTCCTGACAGTTGTTTCAAATCTAAGCTCCTGCCAAAACATGAATATGATCTTGTTGTTTCCAAAGCTTAAATCCTTCATTTGACTCCCATGAGCGCATGCGATCCACCCCCACCTCCTTAGCAGGGCATCCTGTCTGTGTCCATCTCCTACCACGCTTTATGCCTGACGTCTCAGGACTTTCTAAATGCTTCTTGCTTCTCATGTCTCCATGCCTTTTGCATATTATCTCCCTTTGCTATGTATTCCTTTTCCTGTGGTCTCTTCTCACGATGAAGTTATGGAGGCTTTTTCTAAGAACTAAAGTTCCTCAAGAAAGTATGAGAGGTTTCATGTGGCTATCGCACGAGATTGATCGAATGGTTATATCTGGAAGAAATGCCAGGGAGACAGATTTGAGGTCAGATAGATTTGGAAAAGCCACATTGGTAATGCTCCAGTTAGATATTTATCTTTGGAGCAAAGAAGACTCAAATATGGTTTTTAGCCAGGAAAAACATTTGTTGAGACCTGGGCTTTTGCCTTTTATTGACTTTGAGAAATATATGCTAGCATGAAAGTTATGTTTCAAATTAGCATCTTCTTATTTAATAGCTTGCTGTGAATGTCTTTCATTGCAAACTGAATCAAAACCCTTTCTGTATACAATTGGAATAAATATTTTAATCAATAAGTTATAAATATTAACCCTTGCTGCCATTGTCATGAGCTGGATTTCAAGCTAAAGGCTTTGTTTGACTGACCCCATATGATGTTCCTTCTCAGGAATTCTGCATCTTCATTAAGATTCTCTCAGCAACTACCTTCCAGAACTATTCATTCTCATGTCAGTAATTCTGTTATTAGCCAGTTTTTTAAATTACAATCTTGGAAAACCACTCCAACCAAGTAAAACTTACAATCTCTTTTTTTAAACAAACAAACAAACAAACAAACAAAATCTCTTTCCTACTCTGGCAGAATATGTACTTGGTTAATCCTTCTTCTATTGGAACATCCACAACAAAAAAGAGTGAGAGTGAGAAAGAGAAACAGAGAGAGAGAGAGAGAGAGAGAGAGAGAGAGAGAGAGAGAGAGAGAGAGAAAATGTTACTCACCAGACCTTTTGTAGTTTTCATTCCTGCTGCAATTGACAAGGACCCTGAAAAAATAAACTAGTAACACGAAGAAAAATGCAGGTCAAAAACTTGAAACAAATATTTGAAGTCATAACTTATTAAAACTTATCCTTAAGTGTGATAGATACATTAAACAGACCAGCTATATTGGATGAAGAATGCAAAAATTTGTAAATAACTGTTCTCTTTTCCCAAACACAACAGAGAATTTTTATCAGATGGATTCACAGGAAAACTTATCAAGTCTTCTAAAAAATTTCTAACTGCTATGGTATTTAAACTGTTCAAGAGCACTGAAATATAAAGCATAAAAATTCCTGATATAAAGTAACTCTAATATGATACCAAAATTTAATAAGATAGTACAAAAGAAAAGAAACTAAAGATTATTTTCATTTAAAACAACTACTGTAAGTTGTAAATAAAATAGTAGAAAAGAAAAAATTTGAATTCCATATTAGATGATGATTAGAATATATTATTTCATTTGACTCTATCAATTGGGTAATTATTTTCCATTTAGCGAACATGGCTGGAGTCAAGTCATCTGAGCTCCCTGTTTTTTTTTACTGTTTGCGTTTCTGGGTTTGCTTTCCAAATTTGATTTCAGAAGTTTCAGAAGTACCAAAAAAGGCTAATCCTTGTACTCCTGAATTAACCAACCCTGGAAATGACTAGCCACTGGGCTTCCTCTTGTGAAATAATCAATGCTTTTGATGTCTAATCCATTCTGGTTTGAATCATTTGCTATGTGGTGCTGTCATATACCCTAACTGATACAAATGAAATATTTACTCTGCTTGGTTTCCTATCAGTTTTATATCATTCCCACTGAAATCTGAGAAAATTGAGCCAAAAGGAGGTTAGATATCTTTTTCAAAGCTAGAGAACTACAGGATAAGGTTAGAATATGATTCCAAAGCTCAGGGTATTAATACAACTAAATTATGTATTTCCAGCTATATCATAAGGCATTCTACTCACCATCACTGGTCCCCAAACTGTGTACCCCGTATACACTAAAAAGGTACTTGAGTATACATAATAATTGGGCACCGTTACACTCATTATTATTATTCCCAAGCTGAGGATCATTAGGGAAATCAGCACCTGCACAACCTAGAAATGAAGAAAGTAAAAGCCGATTATCTACCACAAAAATGATGCCCAAGCCACTCCCTTTCCAACCACTAAGTTACCCTCATTCTCCATCTTTTGAAAGAGTCAGGTGGCCTTCTTGATTTCCCTTGTCACTTTCTTTTCATATAAAGAACGGTGGATATATTAACTTACTCGACTAATCTCTCAGGATATCTATCCCAATTGTCCCAATAATTTCAATGTCAAAACAGTGTCGCAGCACCTACCTGGAGGCACTTTACCTATGATGCTACATCTACCAACAACTTTTGTTTGCCTTTGCACATACTCAGACAGCAGTGATCCAGAAATTAGGAAGCAATTATTCTAGCAAGAATAAGTACTTTGAGTAAAGAAGAGTATACACAGGGGAAGAAAAAGAGAATGGCAATATGACATTTTCTTGGGGTCTGGGGTCTGAGGACAGACCCCTATGTTCACTGTTCTATGTTCACTGAACCTCTATGTTCACTGTTGTTCTACCCGCACTAAACTATCTTCCTTTAAACTGTCCATTTCTTTCAGGCACACCCACCTGAGACTCCAAACAGGAATGTACAGAGGTAGAAAATTTTCATCCTCAGAGGAGCAAGCTAAGAAAATTCCCCAGAGAGAGACAGTCACAATATGGGGCCATCAGTTTTCAGGAGGGTCTGTGGAAGTGACACCGGCTAGTGTACATATAACCTTGTCTTTTGCTGTTCTTTCATGCTGGAGTTAAATATAGTTATCATAGATGACTCAGAACCCTAGAAATAGCTCTGAAGTCATTACATTTTAAACATAAACTAAATCAGAACTGTGATGTGATAGAATATTGTCTTCTTTTTCAAGTGATAGGGTCTACACATCTATACTGATGTCCCTAAGGCTGGCTAATGTATTTTGAGGCTGATGGGACAGAGTATATGAGTATATGGCATTAGATCTAATCAGTTGGGACAACATGATGGGCCTTCTCCCAGATCTGCAACTGAACTTACCCCAAGGACTTTAGGTTCACCTTTCAAGAATTTCTCTATCATCTCTTTCCACATATATGGCTGTACAGCAACAGGCTGCCCCAGCTGGACCATATTAGGGCCAGCTTCTGGTGTGGTCTGTGAATGTTGCATGGTTGTCATGGCAGCAGGAAAAGTACTACAATAAGAAATGTAATTTAGGATGAGATCCTGGAAATGACAAGACAACCTCTGATCAACATTCTCTTCCTTCATTATAAGAGCTACTAGAAAATCTTCACAAAACATAATTATTGCATAGACCAGCCAGGAAACACACACACACACACACACACACACACACACACACACACAAAAGAAGAAGGGAGGGAGAGAGGGAGGGAGGGAGAGAGAGAGAGAGAGAGAGAGAGAGAGAGAGAGAGAGAGAGAGAGGCCACATGACATCAAGATGCTAGAAAGTATTGAAGAAAGAGAAATGTGGATAGAATTAAGGTGAATATGCTGGGCCTCTCCAATTAAGAAAATGGCTTCAAGTCTGTATATCAAGTCTGCACTCAAATTTTATCTCTATCCCCATTACTGCATATTCCCTTGATTATATCTATTTCCCTTTGAAGGTTAACTTTTATAATGGTAATAAACAGAATCATCTGCATTCCAGTTTAATGGAAAGTATTTTATAGTTCCCCTTTTCCTAATCAGAGCACAATTACACTCTCAGAGCTAGAAAACTCCCTCAAATTCATCTTCATTAAATACAACTTATGTGATCTTGGGTTTTACCCTATAAACTCTGGATTTGGGGGACGGAATTTATGGTTCTGAGTCATCCCTGGCCTTAATAATTTAAGTCTTTTATCCCATTAAAATGCTTTAAATCCTGACTTGCCAATGCATCACAAGGATATATAAAATTATATTTCTGAGACTCAAAGCACAGACATAATACCCATATGGCCATTTTATCTTTTGTACATAGCAACCCCAATCAGGACATGTGGAGATAGGTTTCAGCCACACAAACTTTCATCTATTCATTTGAATCCATATTCAGATGTTGCATGGCCCACACACACAAATTTTGAAGGAAGTGAGACTTGTTAAGAGCCTACTGCCACAATAGATTCTGATACCATTTATGCTTCACTAAAGCTCCATTAAAGTTTCAAGTTTGGATGTGTACCCTTTTATTGGTAGCACAGGGTAAAAGAATGTTCTAGTCACAAAAATTTTCTATATACTGAAAAAGAGTTTAGATTTCCCTGGAAAGGATTATTAGCCTATATTATTAGTTATCTAGCAATAAAACTGATGGAAATCAGAAAAAAAAATGAGTACATTTCAGAGAGAGGGGGGGAAAAGACCAAATAAAAAATCAAAGTTTAATCATTGAAAACATTATTTTAATTTTAATAATATGCATTCAAAGTTCTGGCAAGTAGTAAAATAAAAAGTACAACATAGTAAATTATAAAATAAGAAAAGTAAACAGAATGTGAAGTAAATTAAAATAATTAAGATCAGGAAGCAAATAAGAGGCTATACCCAAAAGTCAATGTTTTTTCTTCTGTTCTAGAAAATTTCCAAAAGCAATATAAAGAAAGAAAATAGGAATTCCATTTTGAAAGTGGAAAACAACTAAAATTCCTATAACTCAGGTGAAGTGATTGTCAGAAACAACAAAAAATGCGTGAAGATAGATATGATAGCCACAGATTTCAGGGTACACTTATCAAAGATAAGAGGCTTGATGAGGTATAAAACATATACTACTGTTTATAATCCCAAGAATGAATGCACCAATTGATAGCTGTAATTTCCTTGGACAAATATAATTCTGAGAAATAAAAGAGAAATCACAACAAAAAGCCACTTTCGTGGAATGTGACCTGTCTCTGAGTAAGTCTAACATTGCAGTTCACAAAGAAGAAAAGCAAGCATTCTTGAGTCGGCAAGAAATCCCATAGATTAGGATCATCTAAATATATCATCACAATCAAAGACCTCCAAATTCACAAAAACCAAGATTTAGTTATGAGAAACACCAAGCACTTCAGATATTAGAATAATCAAATGCAGAATGTGTAATAAATATGAATAAAATATTCAAATAAAAATGAAATCGCAAAAATGAGCACAGGCAAAGTGCAAAAAGTGACATGACAAATTTCAAATGTGATAAAAGATAATGTTGACATTTTAAAAAACTTGGCCAATGTGTTACATAGCAAGGAACAATTGAAAAGAGAATTAGTTCATTGGAAGATGAATCTAAGGAAATCACCCAGAAGACATATAGAGAAACAAAGAAGTGGTCATAATAGAAGACAGGTTAAAATATTAGCAATAAAGAAGAAAAAGTTCTAGAATATGTATAATTAGAGTAATACAAAGAGTGAGGACAACAAATGGAGGATAGGCAAAATTAATATTTGGAATGGCAATAACTGTATATTTTCCTTAACTAATGAAATACGCAAACCCACAGACACAGGTCACAAAACATACACCAAACACTACATTTAAAAATCTATATGCAAACACATTATAGTGAATTTACAAGATAGCAAAGACCAAAGATGATCTTAAAAGTAGTAAAAAAAAAAAAGTCAAATAATGCACAATGTAATGGCAATTAGACTCATACAAATGTAAGCCAGATAATCACAACAAATTTTTTTTCAAAGGCCTGAAAGAACATAACTATAAGACGTAGAATTTGTTATGCTCCAAAACTATGGTTCAAGATCAAGGGTAAAACAAAAACATTTTCAGATAAGTAAACACCTGATAGAGTTTACCAGCATGTTCACTGAATAGAACTTCTAAATGATGTGCTTTCAAAATAAGGAATATGGAGAGGAAAAAAATGGCGCGGTAAGGAAGTCACTGTGTCAGTTCGCGCAAACCACGGCAATTTTGGCAGCGAAAACACAGCTCTGCGGGGCACGCTGGGCAGCGGAAGGACTCCCACACGGACTACTTGGAGGTGGGCAGACCCAGCGGGTTCGGGAATTGGGAGGCGAGGCGCGTGAAGTCCAGGGATCTCAGCAGATGGGAAACTTCCCTCACCTGTCCTCCAGCCCAC